CTAACTTATGCAGGAAAATTGCTCCTCCTAAAAAGTGTGATGTTTGCAATAACGCATTACTAGATGCAATGCTTACCCTTCCCCAGGTTTGTGATTTAAAAATTAATTTTGTTTGTCGTGTTTTCTTGTGGACTTGAAAAAATAGGAATAGCCGTAAAGCCCTAATAGCTTGAAAAACTGTGTGCAAGCCAAAATGATGTGGTGGTCTAAACCTTATTAATCTTGATACATGGAATAAGGTTACAATTTTGAAACTTCTGTGGAAAAGCGGACAATTTATGGGAGAAACGGATTCACGCGCACTATATAAAAAATTAAAGTATTATGGAGGCTAAGGTGACTAACAATGATTCTTGGATCATTAAAGATGTTCTGAATCAGCGGGATGCTATTAAGACAAACCAAAGGTGGACTGAAATGTTGTAGAGTCATAGGTTCCATATGAGTAAGATGTAGAAGGCACTGCAAAAGGATCTCCAGCCAGTGCCTTGGAAATCAATGTTCTATGGCAACTTGGCTCGGCCAAGGGCGAAAGTGAACCTCTGGATGACGTGTAATGATCGACTTGTAACAAAGTCCAGATTGCATCCATTCGAGGTGGTTGACACTCCAAAATGTTGCTTATGTGTAGAGGATGAAACTCAACAACATCTACTATTTGATTATGGGGTAACTAAAAAAATTGGGTTAAAAGTACATGATTGGTTGCAAATTTCTCACATAATAGGTGGGTGGAGTCAAGAAATATACTGGATTGTGAAAATACCAAAGGTAGAGGGATTCGTGCTACAATCCTCAAACTTGCGGCAACAGAGAGCATTTACGAGATATGAAAATATAGAAATGATATGTGTTTTGCAAATGATGTACATACACAGAAAACTGAGGGAAAATTATAGATATGATAGTTTACAGGAAATGGACAAATAAAAAATTACGTCAATATTTAGTTAGGCTAATGCTTTAAGAGTTTTATTTTGTCTGAACCTTTGAGTTGGATCTTTGCGATCACTTTGTATTGATTGTTTTTTGAATTAATCAAAAATATCCATTGATTAAAAAAAGTGATTTCTTTTTTAATTCAATATAGTTGTTATATTAATAAATAATTTTAAATTTTTTTTAATTATTAATTTTGATCAAAATTAATTTTTAGCCTCTCTTTATTTCCCACAAAATTATGAATATATATAAATGGCACAATTACTTTGAGGGTTCCTTAAGTTATTTTATTGTAATAAATTGATCCTTTAAAATTTTTTTGTAACAACTTGGTCCTTTAAATGTTACTTTATGTATGAAAATTTCTTATTCCACCCCATACCCAAAATAAAGATCCTTTGCAATTTCGAAATTGCCCTGCATTTCCGGTTCGCACCATATATTACAAAAACAGGTCAAATGTGGTTTCACCTTTTAAAATGTAAAAAACAAAACCGGAGATATACTTCTGGTTCTGTACCGGTATTATGGTTCCGGTTTTTAGAGCGGGAAGATTGATTTTTTCTGCCACCTTGTCACTTTGTCTATAATTGAAAGTATACTTTAGGTATTATAGAAAATTCATAATGCTTAAAACAGTAACCAACATAGTCAAGTTTTGATCATACCATTTTTCTTCTTTCCATAAAACCTCTCAAAAACCCTTTCATTCTCAGTCTATTTTTCCACTCTAAATCTTCATTTTTATGGTTCATTATATCAAAAGGAGCTCAAGGAAGTGTAATTTAAGGTAAAGTTTATTCATTTCAATCCTCATTCCTTACATTAATCAGTTTTTTATTTTGGAAAAAGGTTACGCGAAAACCAAATGTATATTTTTAGTTGTTAGTTGAACATAACCGAAAATACGTTTCTAGTTTCTGTCTATGTTTATTTGACAGTAGCTTCTGCCATGTTCTATGTAAGTGTTAATAAGTTTTATGTTTTTTATAATATTAGGTATGGTGCATCTCGATAACATTCTCAAATGTAATGTGTCTCAAGTTGTTTCACCTCTCGTGTCTCCTATCGTAACTAAGATGGTATATATTTGTGTATATTTTGAAAATGGAGAAGAGTTTGAATTACGTGAAGACATGTTGCAGTGGATTCGTATAGAGGCTACGAAACAAGGATTTGGTGTTGTGATTGAAAGGTCCAATAATGGTACGGATAGAAGAAATGCATTTGCGACTTTGATATGCGAAAGAAGTGGAAAATATATCCGTTGTATCCAAAAATGGAAACGCGACGACACCGGTTCAAGAAAATGTGAATGTCCATTTAGGTTGCGTGATTATCTTTTGGCAAGTGACAAATGGAGATTTAATATGATATGTGGTTTACACAGCCATGATTTAAATCAAAAGTTAGTCAGTCATCAAATTGCACGTCGGCTCCTTCCAGATGATTTAAGTCGATGACGCCACCAAAATCCACATCAAAGAGCAATTGAGGAAGATTGTGTTACCAAAGACCACAAACTTGAAACCACCATCTCAACTGGTAAAAACTAAAGGGGCACCTAAGAAGGTGAAACTGACACCGGGCGACAATTCAACTATGACGAGTCCTTCATATTTTGAACATGTTGACAATTTTTTTATTTACCTACTCTGAAATCTCAGAAAAGTACTTTCGAAGGTGCCCGTATTATCAAACCACCTCCTGCACCGACTCCAACCAAAATATCATTCATCGATCACATGTCAGTTTTTATGCACAAGTATATTGAACAGATCGTCAATATTGGGGGTGACGGTAACTGTGGTTTTTGAGTTGTTTCTGGTTTGCTCGGTAAAGGGGAAGAGGATCACCAACTTGTCCGTGATACTCTTTTCAGACTGTTGAGGGGAAATAGAGATTTATACACACATGTCTTCGGGAGTAAAGAGAAAGTTGAAGATATATATAATGCTCTTGTACCTTGCATGAGTGAATTTGCATCGAAGGATAAATGGACGTGCTTCCGTAAAATGGATCATCTCATAACAAGTGCGTATGATAGGGTGTGTATTAATCTTACAAGATACAGATTCTCGGAGACTTTTTCCCACTGCGCACTGCTCTAACACTAAATCTCAATGATCGTATCATATGTGTTGGGTGAGTTTCAAATCTGCGGCATTTTGTTCAAGTGTATTTGAAACCAGGATGCCTTATACCACCTACATCACCGGAGTGGACGCTTCATTTCACAATCCCATCTGAGACATGGCTAAACCAATTCATTGAAAGGATGTAAGAATACAACAACTTGAACAACATTGAAATAGAAAAAATATAGAAAAGTCAAAAGGGATACCACCGTTGGATTTGGCTACGATAATTTTTTCGACTCATTTAAGTAGTTAGGTATCATTTATTGTAAATGTCATTTTGTTCATGTATTATGCTGTGGAAATATAGTCATTTTTGTAGTTTGACCAAAATACAATATTTGAATACATGAGGTTTTTTGAATGATAATATATGTTTTTGGTTTTTGAATCATAATATATAGCCATGTTGTTTCTGTTCTGTTTTTGTTTTTTCACTCCCAGGGGACTAACCGAAAATATATTTCTGGTTACAATTTATATAAAACCAGAAGTGCAATTCTAGTTTTAACTCTGACACAGGGATATGATTTGTATGACTCATATTTACCTTCAACTACTATAAATAACCTCACTTGTCATATTGTTTCATATCATAATATCAAAAAACAGAAATTAACATCAAATGGCATGTTGAAATTGTCCACTTTACCAGCGCTACACCATCACGCGAATTTAAGTTCACCCAGTACACGCCCCTTGAATATCTACAAGACATATTGCAGGACCTGCTACCTCATGGCGACAATCGCAAAATTGTGAAGATCGAGTACCGCTCGCCATCTCTTGACAAAGATGAGAAGCTTGTGTTCAACAACCGTGAACTGAAGAACGACGTTGATACATGAGTTATGTGGAATACTTTTACCAGTTTTGAGGAAAAAGTTCTGATCAAGCTAGATGCGACTATTTCAAGATCGGTGATGATATTATCATAATGTTGCAACATCCACGTGGACGTTGATTTGTAATATTCGATCTATATTAAAATCCTTAATGTATTTCCTACGTTTATGTTATGAATTGTATTTTGAGTTTGTGATACTTGTGTTATTCAATGATGTTTTTGTAGTTTCTATGTAGTACAAAATCGAAATTACTTCTTCGAGTCAAAACCGAAAATTAAATTCCAATTCGAATATATAGTTTATTAGAATTTAGTGTGCACTGAAAATATACTTATGATTTTGAGGAGCATTTATGAAAATATACTTACGATTTTGAGGAGCATTTATGGAGTTTCACATGGTGCTTAAAAAAAACATAGAGTGAAATTAAAAATTCTCTTTATATTTATGAGGTTAATATATGCATTTTATTGCATCTTTATGTATTTTGGATGATTTATTTAATTTAAGATTGAAAAAAAAGGGTAAAAAAGAATAATTGTGCAAACATTTATTAACTTAAAGCATCAAATTGTATTTAAAAAAACTTAAAGAACCAACTTATTATAATAAAATAAGTTAAAGAATCCTCTAATATAATTATGCCAACAAAAAAAACTTTAAATTCTTGAGAAACTTAATCCTTAAGCTTCAAAAACAACAACTAATCAAAGTCATATTTTACCGGATCCAAATCCTCTCCTTTTTCTTCTCTGCTGCCATTCATCCTGCTGCAATCTACACCTTTAATGTCTTTTTAATACAGCTTTCTTATTTTTATTTCTTTCCTTTAAAATATTTTAACCCTTGGATTTAAGGCATGATGGGTGGCAGAATTGAAAGGGCAGGAGATGATCCGTGTGCCATTTTACTCAACAAACACAACAGGGCGGAAAATTCTTGCTAAGGAACACCAATTACACGTGGCTCTTTTACAATAAATAAAAATGAAAATCAATGTGTATGAGAGTAAAACAGGAACAATTCAAAATTGTGTTGCTTAGATAGCATGTGATGCATACTGCATTGCATCCTACTGCAGAGAAATAAGTTGAACAGGCCAACTATGTCTCCGGCCATCAGAACTTACACCAGCAGCTTCCATGGAAATGTCAATACTGCGGTGCTCAGTTGAGCGGACAATGCTGACACGCAGATCAATCTTCGCAGCAGGGTAGACTTCAGTGCCAATTGTTTCTGGTTTTCTCGCATTATCTTCACCCGTTCCAATGGCAATAGGTTCCCGGAAAGTTAAGATTGTTTGTGACCAATGTGTTTTTGGAGTGTAAGGGGATGTTGATAGCACGGCCGGAGTTTCCTTGCAGAATCTTGTTGTAAATCCAGTATCAAACCATAGGACAACTCCATAACACCAGCAACATGAAGTGCTCGATTTTGGTTCCAAAGAAGCAGTTGCGGTGAAATCCACTTCATCGGGCTTCATGGTAGCCAAGTCAAAGGTCTGGAAGGGGAAAAAAACACAATTTAGAACATTGAATGTGTATATATACAAGCTAAAACCAAATATGAGAAACTTACAACATACAAGATTCACAGAATGGCTGCAAGCATGGAGTTAAATACCAAAAAGGATAGCGAATTCACGAATATAATATCTTGTAACATATTCACATTACACAATAGGCACAAACCTGAAGAATAGTAGAACTGGTAACTAAATCTTGGTGGTCTATGACATCGACTATAGGATATCGGGCAGCATCTGTAACAAGCTCCTCCCCAATGCTAGACATGTCAAAATCACACACGTTCTCCCAAAATGGAAGACTTGTACCTCCTTTTCCAAATCCAGCAACAAACTATAGAAGAAAAACAGAATTGTCAATAATATAATGAATTATCATGGCGACTATGGAAACTGCAATAAAAGGCTCTGTTAGTGCATGTGCTGCAGGCTTGCAGCGACCAAGGGCCAATCCACTACAACGCTATAGCGCTATTGACAATGTTTGTAACAATTAAATAGTTCTGAGGTGGAATGATAGCAGAGGGACTCACAATAGTTGCTGTGTCGGGAAGAATGGCACCCCCAGGCTTCAAATAGCGGTCACGTGCATAAAGCACTGAACCAAGCATGGATTCATACAGCAAGCAATATCCCATCCATTCACTTAACAATACATCAACACTGTGAGGTTGAAGTTCAACAATTTTGTCAATTTCTTCAACCATGCCATGAACCACTTCTACAACTCCTTTCTGGTTGCCATTGACTCTAGTTTCGTTTTTACTCGACAAGAGATTGTTATCTTTTGCAACCTGAATTAAATTTGAAGGAAAACAAAGTGAGCAAGGAGATAGGCATGTAGTTGAATAGTTTCTAAAGAAGCTACCAAGCAGGTAATCTATACCCGAGATGCAACTGCTGCCATTTTTGCACTAGCCTCAACTGCAATGACCCTCGAAGCCCCTGCCTGAGCTGCAAAAAGGCTAAAACAAATAATAATATAAAAATGTCAGAAAATCACAAATGATTGGGCAATAAAAAATGAAATGTGAATATATAGCCCCAAACAAGAATTCGCACTTCACAACTGAGCTTTATACAATATATCATAATCATTACTTCTTAAGATGGACAATAAAGAAACTTATAGAATAACTATCAATTTGAGTTTGTATATGTAAACAAGATTAGTGGCTTTTGTTACTACCATACAATACAATATGTCATTATAAGACTTTTAAAATACATGGGAATTGGGTTAGAGTTAGTTAGACAGTAGTCGGTTTAGTTGGTTACAGTTAAAATCTATAAGGGCAAGAGGCTAGAGAGACACTGTAAATTGAACCAAGATTTCACAAAAATCAAGAATGTTTCTCACCTGAGTATGCCAGTTCCACAACCTACATCCATAACCACGGCACCATTTAGGAGAGAGGGATTCTTCGAAATTGCTTGACCATAAGCATCCATTCTAGCCTACATAAAAATAGATGTGACTTTAATAAACCAATAATAATTTAGTCAATAGAAATTCAAATTTTCAATTTTATTCGTAACACCATTTGTTAAAACCTAAAACCCAAAAAAAAAAAAGAGAAGAACATTTTATACCTTATCACTTAACATCTCTCGATGAATGCCAAATGAGCTGTAAGACCCAAAATAACTTTCATTAACCTTCTTAATATGCGTTGCAATGTGATTATGAGGGTTATCCATCAAAGACCCTTCTTCTCGATCCTTATCAATGGATGACAATGACATACATACTCTTGAATCCTTCCCATTAACAAGCTCCTTAGCTGAAGAGCTGGGCAAGTTTGAATGCTCATCTGAAAAGGCATCTTGATCCACACTGTTGGTTTCTAAAGCATATTTCAACTCACTCACAAGATCTTCATCCATAATTGAAGTTTGTTCATCTTCACCTTCTTCAAATTCACCAAAGTTGTACAGCAATGAATCATCTTGCATGAAAGGTTTTAGATATCTATCATCATGCCACAAAGGCTTAATAGCATTGAAGTCAATTACATCATGCAAGTGATTCTGCAAATCATGTTTGGACTGGAAAGCTAACCCACAACTCCAACAACTATTCTCTGATACCTGGTTGAAAAAAAGAAGAACAAACCAAATGTAAGCAAAGTCATGCACTTACCGTCACAATTGAAATCTCCTATATAGTACTTAATATACAAAGCTAGAAGAACTTATTTTCCCTAAAAAGAACATGATAAAAAATATTGGATACATTTTATCAAAAAAGAGAGAGAAAAAAAATCTATAAACTATCTGCTTTTACTTTATCGTCAACAAGTTAAGAGAGTGAAGTTTGTGTGTATATTTGATTTCACTTTGGTGAGAGGCAAAAGTGATTCTAGAAGCATATAAATAATTTTTAGCATATGTTTGGTTTGGCTTTTGAAAGAGCCAAAAGCAATTCTAGAGGTGTAGAAATGATTCTCGAGTGATTTTGAGGTGTTTGGTTCTTCTAAAGTAGAATTGATTTTGCCTCCAGAATAGATTCTACTTGAAGCTAGAATTTGTAGCTTCTAAGTTCAAACGTTATTTTTACACTGAAATTAGTCTTTCATCTCACTTTTACATAAATGTATCTAAACATAAATCAAGCTAAACTCAATTAGGTTAAAATCAATTCTTTCAAACTCAATTAGGTTAAAATCAATTCTTTCAAACTCAATTCTGTCACCGCCAATCCAAACACGCATATTTAGCTTCTACCTAGCATAATTGCTTTTGACTCCAAAATCCATTCTAACTAAGAAGCTGAGATTCAGAGCTTCTTGCCTCTAAACCTGATGTTAAGCCTCAATATTTTACATTTCAATTCACTTTTATGTGAATATACTCAAACATAAATTATCTTAAATTCATCTTACTTTTAACTTATGAAGCACAACACCAGAAACACGACACCGACACAACAACACCAGTAATAATTTGAAAAGGAATAGTTTAAAAAAACAATTAAAAAAAGTGTGATTAGTTAGTTAGTTACCTTTGAGCGAATATAGTTAATGAGCTTGAAGGAAGCATAGAAATCCAAGTTCAGAGAATTTGTAACAGCATGAAAATCGAAGTGGTGAACCGAAGTGCAATGTTGAAACAAAGAGCTACATGAATCGAAATTGGAATCACAGAAGAGACAGATGAAATCAGAGTCTGAATCTCCGTCATCTCCTTCCCAATCGTCCCACACTTGTTCTTCAACTTCTTCTTCGTCGTCATCATCATCGTCTTGTTCTTGTTGTTCTACTGTGTATGGTGTTTTTTCTTCGTTTTCGTCTTGGTTAGTTTTGAAAGCCATTGATGAGTTGGGAATGGTGTAGTTGGGCTGTTAGAAGTGTGAAAAAGAAAAAGGTTAAACCCTTCGCAAACCCTAAAAATTGAAACCTATATATGTGGGATAGTCCATTGTTGTTTTTTGTACAACGTGGTTTTATTGGAGAGAAAAAAAATATATATATATATATATATATATATATATATATATATATATATATATATATATATATATATATATATATATATATATATATATATATATATATATATATATATATATATATATATATATTTGACCTATTGATTTTTCAAAACCATCTGTTCATCAATTTTTATTAGTTTGGACTGATTTTAGTTAATTTTCACTTGTTCGATAACATACTCCTTGTAATAATCAGACTAAATCGATAATTCTACTATTTCTTGATTCAACTAATCTAACGACTTATTCAATCTGATTTTTAAAACACTGCAACATGATAATTTTGTCTAAAATTTTCATAAAATTTTCATCTTTATGACATGAAAATAATAAAAAATATATGAATAAGTTATATTCTTAAAAATAAAAAATATTTATGCATAATGATTAACTAATTTTTTTTAATTTAATGTGTGAAATTGTTATTTAAAAAATATCACAGCCATAAGATTTCTACTGAAACAAAAATAATATTAAAACAAATAAGATATTAAATAAAGTTCATATCTTAAATTTAAAAATACCAAGTCTAAAATCTTAAATATAAAATTAAAAATCTTAAAAATTTTAAGCATAAAATAATTAAGTTCACAAAATAAAATACTTAAAAAGTCTAGAGACTAACTAGTACAAATTACGAATGCATTATTAATTTCGATTAGTCTCGTAACATCAACTTTTTCATCTTTATTTATTTCACCATCTCCTTCATCATTATCACCATCATCTTCTTCTTTGTCTATTTCATCACATTCATCTTCATTTGCTCCTTTATTATCACTTTTTATATCTTTGGAAACATTAAATTCTTTTAAAGATGCGATTGATTTAGCACTAGTACGACTAATTTGATTAGTTTGTATAAAATCTTCGTCTAAATCAACCACATTTACATTATTAACACTTGTATTTTCTTTCCCAGTCACATACCATCAATCATCCTCATCTTAGAAACCATTCATTGTTAGATCTATTTTTTCTTTAAACCTTATTATTTGTCAATCATGTATTTATCATCACATACACAAGATCATTCGTAGTCTTTTGTTTCAAGCAGTTTCTTTGGATAGAATCTAATTTGTTTGCACTTATCTTTATATTCATCGTGAGATCTCTTTGAGACTTTTGATAGAATTTAGTTTGTTTGCATTTATCTGATAGTCAAGTTGATCAAACCTTTATATTTATGGTTTACATCTTTAACTACTTAAGTGCATTATTTGACTTACCATTTGTTGCATCTTTATCATGATTGTTATACCCCAAAATTTGACCTCTCATTTACCAAGTAATCTCTCACAAGATCTTTCTTGGTTCAAGACTGCACTAGGGCTGATCAGCTCAAGACACATCCTCAAGCACTGATGACTGAAAATTAGGGTTTAAGATTGCACAAGGACAACTGGACTTTTAATGCCCCATATGACTTTCATGGATCATTATTGACCCTCAAGATTGCTCATGTCAAGTTTCAAGTCTTGGATCACATTTTTGCTCAGTAAATTGATCAATTGACCTAAAAATCAACTATATTGGGGAAAAAGTCAACATTGGTCAATTTATAGTCAAACTTCATGATTTTTGATCCATATCAACACCATGAACCTATATATGTCATTTGATCAAGTTTGGACCATAATTCCTCAAAAAATTTGATCAGATCATCAAAAGGGCAAAATGGTCAAAATTAGGGTTTTGATTGAGGAAGTGCAATTTCTGATTTTTGACCTAGCAAATGGTTGATTGGTTAGGAACATGATCTCAAGGATTCAATTGTATCATTTTGACCTAATGGCATGACTCAAAACTTCCCTCGAGATCAATTGATTGATAGTTGATTTTCAGCCAACTGATCAAAAGTCAATTGTACATTAAAAAGTCAAACTTTGACTTTTTAGTCAAAATCAAGTGTCAAAGATCATAATTCATTAAAACATGTCAAAATATGAAACTTGTTCATCAAGAAATAAAAAAGTCAAGATTTCATTTTGAAAAGTCAAAATTCCTAAACTTAGAAATTTTTCTAAGTATTGAAAACTTCATATTTTTTCACAACTTTGAGCCAATTTTTCACCATGATGCAAGATGACTCAAAGGAAACTTTCAACATGAAAGTTGTAGATATCAATGAGATATAAAATATTGTAGAACACAACTTCTCCTATAAATGCATGGATTTCAAGTTATGATTTTGTGAATACATGTTCATGAAACTTGGAAACTTAGTGAAATTTTGCCCTAGTTTAGGCAAGATTTTTTTACCTAACTTCATGGCAATTTTTCACATAGTTCCAAGTGGAATTTTCAAAAATGTTCAACATAGAGGTTGTAGAGGATGTTACAAGATTTCCAAAGTGTCCAAGAACTCATTGAGATCATGTTTGAGCAAGGATAATCGAAGACAAGAAGTTGGACATTCACTCTTGAATTATAGGTCATTTTCATGATGAACAAGAATTCAAATCCAAGCCTAGGCTGCATAATCTTTGCTTTGCAGGACTCAAACTTGTTTGTCACTCCATGATTAAATTTTTTCACAACTGTTAGAGCTTTGATCCAAGCATTTGAACCTTTATCTAAGTTGTATTTCCATTTATGGCACAAAGTTACCATTCCATTCTTGTAAAGAGGCTTTAATCACAAAGTCAATGCATAGAGCTTTGCACTTGTTCCTTCTGATCACAAGTAATGTCAAAGGCAAAAGCAACATATCTAGAGCCTCTCATAAACTTAGGCCATACTTGTACTATGCCTTGAAACCACATTTTCACTTTTCTTCAAAATCAAGTAACATAGCCATAACTTTATATCTTGTGCTTCTGACCATCTCAAGTGCTCCAACCTTTTCCACATAATTATACAAGTTATTTGCAAGCTAACACACAAATACACAAGCTCTCAAACTTCCCCAAACTCATAATTATATCACAAACCACCATTGTTGCATATTCTGACCAAGAACTTCAAACTTCCATTTCCCTCGTGTGTTTCTTGGCCTTTTAGTTTCAAAAGCTTCCTCACATCAAATACAAACCATCCCTGTCCCTGTTTGCAGACTGTAAACTCATCTTCATCAACTTCCAAGTTCAAAAATAAAGCATTGCAGTTGGACTTCTCCAGACTATTCCAACCACTTTCAGTTCAAGTCATCCATTGCATTAGCTTCCTAGAGGTTCAAGGAAGCTAACCTGATCATCACCATCACTTAAAACAAGCTCAAACTCATTTCACGATTTCCAGTTTTGAGGTATTTTTCTTGAACTTCTATCTCATTATTTAGGCATTGTTAGACTTGCATTTATGAAGATAAGATGTAGACATCATTGCCATGAAACTATACATGTCCATAAATTTCATTTTTGTTGCTTGAGCATGGAGAATTTTGAGTTTGAACTTGCTGAAACATTTAGGTCAGAATTTGGTACTTTCAAAAATTCATCCTTATCTTTGAGTGTTAGCTTAAGTTAGTTATATGGTTGGATTCGTGGTGGGAAAATGCACAAGTTTCATGTTTACACTTTTGAAAATGGTTGAGAAATGAATATGTTACATATCATTTGGTTGGAGGTTGAAGATGAAGTATAGTCAGGTCAAATCTTGTATCATATATTTATTGTTTTGTTTAAGTTAACAGATGTATCACCACTCCAGTGGTTAAAGCGCACGCCTGTCACCTTAGAGACCTGGGTTCGAGCCCCAGTGGTACTCTTTTGTCTGTTTTTTCATATTTTTCACTTTTTTGATTTTTGTTTGCAGCGCTGGGCCTCCAACTTGGGCCTTGCTATTTGTTTGCTGACTTCCCCCCTGACTATGTTTATACCCCTTGCCCTTTTATTATTTCTATTTCTTTTTCTTTACTTTATTTTTATTTATCATATTACTTTCATTTTTATTATTATTATTATTATTATCATTTTTATTAATAAAAATCCAAAAATATATTTTTATTTATTTATTTACATATTTAAAAAATGTTCATTAATATTTTATTTTTCTCCATAAAACAAAAAGACCAAAATATTTTCTTTTAACAAATTAATTCTTTTTTAATAATAATTAATGTTTAGACTTAGATTAATTATCACATTATTTTCTTGTAAATTAAAAATTAATTTAGAACTTAGATTTCTTTTTAATTAATCAATTCTCATGTTATTTTTATTATTTAAAACCTTTTCATAGAAAACCCTAAAAAAATCATTTTTTAAATTAATTTATTTTCTTAATTAGTTTAAGTTCATTTTAGTTAATTTTTTGTTAATTATTTTCTCAATTAGGTTTAGGTTAAAACCTTTCATAAAATCAAACATAAAAATCATTTCTTTTTCCATTTTACATTCTTGCATTTTATCTTCAATTTTGTACAATATTCAATATGGTTGTAATAGTTAATTAGATTTAATTTTCTTGCAAATCCCCCATTTGTAAATTTATACACCCCCTCCCCTAATGATGTAATAGCTTAGTATTTTTTATTTTCCGCAATTTAATGCTATATATATAAATGCTAGTAAATTAGGATTTGTATGGAAAGATTAAAATCAATAAGTTAGCAAACCTTAATTCAAGACAAAACAATGCATGTAAATCAACACATTTGCACACTTGCACCCTTAGGGTAAATCCACTTTGTTGCCTTACAAAAATGGTCATGTTATGTATGAGGGGTATCTTAGCAAAAACAAATAAAAAATACAAGATCATAGTCCCTCGATGACGCTATCAAATATTGCCTTTCAAAATGATCTTAGTCCCTCAAAGAGAATTGCTAAGATATTTCACAACATTGCTATCATGGCTATACGATGACCCATGCCCGT